TATTATATGATTTTGAGGGGATAGGAGTTATGGAAGGATCCGGGTGAGCACAGGTTATGTACGATGACCGAGGCTAGACCCAGACCTTTAGAAATGAATTTATAGCTATCGGATTGGAGCGGAAATGCCAAATGGCCAGGGAATGACCGGGCTGTAAGAGGTCTTTTAGGATGACGTAATACGGAAACGGAAAGACAAAACGTCACGAGGCTGTAATTTGTAAAGCATTAAGTAGCCAACTCTCCGTATAAAAGCTCATACTGTAACCCAGACATCATCTTACCCTCAACCAATTTATTTTTTCCATCAACCAACTCATCGTCATGAAGGTCGGTATAACAGCTCTTTTTAATGAAAAAATCATAAATGATTGACCTCCTATTCATTTTATAGATCAAGCTCTCTGAGACCCAACTTCAAGAACATGCCGCTGCTTCTCGACGTGGTGCTCTGGAGGGTACTCTAGCTGGTGGTGCCGTTGCTTTGGCAGGATCCCTTTGGGCTCACCGAAGCATGCCTGCCTATCGTCGTCTGCCACCTTCTCTAAAAGCTTTGGGTGCCATCATCATCATCGCACCTACCCTTGCTATCCAGGCAGAACGTCGTGGTCTAGAATATGACCGATCGCAGTGGTAAGCACCCGTACATTTGGCCACATAACTTGGCGCTTAAAATTCTATTAAGGGAGGGTGACTCTGTGAAAGTCTTGGAGGAGAAGGAGATACAACGAGAGAAACGATGGGAGGGACTGTCAGGGTCTGAGAAAGTTGCAGATTGGGCCCTACGTCATCAGTATGGTATGATCATGGGTGGATGGGCAGGCAGTTTGGGTCTTGCTGCTGCTATTATCTCTCGTCAGAAGTGAGTATCTTAGACACTTTACTTGTCATTTAAACATCTTAACGTCGCTGTGTCGCAGATATCAAACCTATGCCCAAAAGGTTTGCAGTTATATATTCATATTTTATAGGAAATCGTCTCACAGCTCTGCCCTTGCCCCTTAGATCGTTCAAGCGCGTATGTGGGCCCAAGGACTTACCATTGGCTTGCTCATTGTTGCAGGTGCTTTGACACAATCTCGCCGAGGAGAGATTGCGAAAGCCGTGGGTTTACCTTATATCTTACTTTGAGCCACACTGATTGTTTCATCCTCTAGAATCAATTGGATCACTCATGGAAGGATGTGGTATGTTACTTTTTTTTATCATACTGTTGTTCCTAAACATTGGGCTGACCCGATCTTATTATCAGCTTGAACAGCAAGAGCGCGACCGACGAGAGGAAGAGGTTGCTCTCGCAGACGCGGTAAAACGCAAAGCTGCTTTGACTGCTTAATTTTGATAGTCCTCGAACTTGGAAGATGCATTTCGCCTCGTATCTAATGCTTTTAAAAATAGAAATAATACTCTTTTAGATTCCTACTCATCTTGTAGCTTAATGTACCTTGTACGATTTACTGGAGCACTGTAATTGGTTGACGATATCGATTTTTATATCGGAATCATACCAAAAAAATTCAGACATTAAGTCTGTCAATAATTATCCCAACTTTCTTGAAAAAAAAACGCCAAAAAAAAAAATAAAACAGCCAAAATGGAGCTTTTATTTCGGTTTATAAATAGTCTCACGGTCAGTAATCGGCACAAGAACAGTTAGAGTTCAAGTGGTCATCAAAGTCTTTCGAGATATTTAAGCCTTTGTCCATGAACCACCATCTCCATTGAAAATTCAAATCAAGCCCATCAGATGAGCAACGATATCCTTTCAAGCTCACCTTCCTCTATCCGGGGCATGTCCCCAGTTCGTCGCAGAAGTATCTCACCTAGTGAGGTCAGCGATGTAACCTCTCGCCCTACTCCTGGAGCTTCAAACTCGTCAGGCAATCCAACCCGACATAGTCCAATCCTTGTGCGGTCTTTTGACCCAAATGATCCTCAGGTCAGGGAACGACAGCGCACTATGGATGTAGATATGGCCATGCAACTTTCTAGGGCCCGCAGAGAGACCCTCCATGCCTCTCCTGTTGCCACATTCGCCTCCCCTTCCGTCATTTCGGGTGTTTCATCCAGCACAGTAAGTGGAAATGGGACTATCGGGTCCTCATTTCCGTTCGAAACCGGTGTGGATGATCATCCTGGTATGGATTTTGAGGCGGACGACGAAAGGGCCCGAGAACAGGACCTTAGGATGGGTAGCTTGGATGAAGGGACCGCCTTTGAAAACGATTTCATGCACGAGGAGAATGGTGAAGGTGATGTTCTGCCCCCTCGTAACTTGGATTTCGAGTCCAACCACCACCAGCTACGGAGCCAACCCTCTGTACGATCCCACCGTTCTCATACACACTTGACACCGCGGCGTCACTCTACACACCATGCGCAGCATATGGAAGACCCTTCTTCATCTAACTACGGTCTCCCAATATATCAAGCCAATGTGCCTATCGTTTCTCATTTCGAGTTTGGTCCGATGGAAGAGTTTGCGGCAAAGGAGAAAGCAATTTTAGGCCTCAATTCTCCCATGAGTGTCAACGCCAGGTTCTCTCTCAGTGCTCTCCGTGGACGTGCAAAACAAGATGCACAGCAGCACGAACAACAAAACCACGGGGAATTTGGATCCTTAGATTTGGGAATATCCTCCGCAGCTGAACTTACACGCGCCGAGACAAAGCAGCCTGCAGAGTCCTCGCTAAGGGGTTCTCAATCCGAATTCAACAACACTCATGTTCAGGCCTCCTCGTCTGGCACTTCAGTCCCAGAAGTAGGTGTATCTTTGTTCCCCGCAAATGAAGAAGGGAATCAGCAAGCCCCTCTTCGTCATCGCAAGCTCAGCCAGTCCAACACACATCCTCGCTCTCATCGCAAGGGGATCGGAGGCAAAATGGCGCTCTTCGAGTCTACCAACGATGGTGGAGCCAACACTTTCGCCAACAGGCTTGGTATGATCATTGGGACCCAACCGTCATCTGGTCCCTCATATGACCCGATGACGCATGGAGGACCTGGTGTAGGTGGAGGTGGTATTCCAGGAGGAATCTTGAACACAGGTCACGACAGACCGTATCGCTTCTCTTTCTATAGCAATGCGCTGAGCGCCACCATTCACGCGCGTAGTCTCAGCGAGCTACCGGCCGAAGGACAGACATTCGAACAGTTGTTCAATGGCATTCAGCCTCAGGCACCACCTCCACCTTTCCAAGCTCCAGGAAACGAGTCTCACAAGGGCACACCACATAGTGCATACGACGGGCCCAAGAACAGACCATCATCATCCCTGGCGTTCACCCCTCCTTCGATGGACAGTAATCGTGTGGTTAGCATGTCTTCAACTCAAGTTGGGGATATGCCGTTCGCTGACACCGCTCGTCGTCCTGTCAATGGCCAAAGAAACGAAAAGGACGGCGGGATCCCTAACACCACAACTGGAGATCAAGACGGTAGTACTTGGTGGTTGGATGTCCTGAACCCGACAGACGAGGAAATGAAAATGTTAAGCAAGGTGAATGAATCCTTTTGGCGAAATTATGCTACTTAATTCTGATGCTGTCATGTTGTAGGTGTTCACCATCCATCCCCTCACAACAGAAGATATTTTAATGGAAGAAACGCGCGAGAAAATCGAGCTTTTCCGAAATTACTACCTTGTTTGCTTCCGTTCCTTTGACCAGGATCCATACAGCCCAACGCATCTCGAGCCTCTCAACATGTACATTATTGTCTTCCGCGAAGGCATCCTTTCTTTCCACTTCCGTTCAACTCCACATCCCCAGAACGTCCGACGCCGTATCAAACAGCTCAAGGACTACATTTCCGTCACCTCGGACTGGATTTCTTATGCCCTCATCGATGACATCACCGATGCCTTTGCACCTTTAATTCAAGGCATTGAATACGAGGTCGACAGTATTGATGAGCTGGTGTTGATTTTGAAGGAGGCAGAGCAAAGTGACATGTTAAGAAGGATTGGGACTTGTCGCAAGAAGGTCATGGGTCTCTTGAGACTCATGGGTAACAAGGCCGATGTCGTGAAAGGTCTTGCCAAGAGATGTAACGAGAACTGGAGGGTAGCACCAACGTCAGATATTGTGAGCATTTTTCCTTTTGTTCGTCCTTCAGTCTAAGCTGAATTGTGTGTTAGGGTCTATATCTCTCTGATATTCAGGACCATTTGATCACCATGACCCAGAATTTGAATCATTACGAAAAGATCTTGTCCCGGTCCCACTCCAATTACCTTGCACAAATTTCGATTGAAATGACGGACGCCAATAATCAAATCAACGATGTTCTTTCCAAACTTACCGCACTTGGTACAGTTCTCATTCCGATGAACTTGGTCACTGGTCTTTGGGGCATGAACGTCCATGTGCCAGGACAAGATGTTCCTGTAGGTTTCTTTTGACTATTCCTGAAATGCGATGATTCTGAACGCAAACACTCCAGGGATACGCATGGTTCGTTTCGATCATCGCATGTCTAGCCGCGTTTGCCCTTATCGGGGGGTATTCAACCTACAGATTTATGGTCCGCAAATGATAAAAAGGACGCACCCGACCCTCACCGACGACACTCCACCGCTTTCGATATATTCTCAAGACCAAACAGCATATACCTCTTCACATAATCTATAGATCATCGCTTTTTATGTATTCATCATGCATCCATCTAGATTTGCAAGGAGGTCCTTTAACCTCTTCATATCATTGTAAACCACATACTTCCATTCAACCTCTGGTCATCTGATAGCTACTCACCCTCAACATTTTTCATCTCGACTACATGGATTTCTGACGAATTTACAAATACAATCATTCCGCAGACTGCGTGACACCAAATGTATGCCGCATATCATAATCTAGCGGGTTTTCCATTAGCTCGTGTAATGCAACTTTTCATGTCAGGTTAAAGTCCTTGGGATGCATTTATCATGATTTTGTATTTCCCCTTGCGCAACACAGATGCCGCGCGACGTGGCGGCCACATGGAATTAGATAATATCGCGCCCCTGTTGTCTAATGGTTATGACGTCAGACTTCTAACAGTTCGTGAATGCGAAGTAATGTTATCTGGAGGTTGCGAGTTCGAGTCTCGCCAGGGGTTCGTTTTTGGATCGTTGGGATACAATTCATTTGTTCTTAGATCAACACAGCATACATTTGTCGGCTGGCGAGTGAACAGTCTGAATCAAGAGAATTACATTGAAAACACTAGTACTGCTCGAGCTAGGCATTTAAATTCTACAAGTATTGCATTGCATGTTATGCACGTCCACAGGCATTTTAGTCTACATGATCTGTAAACGGGACCCACAAGAACCCACAATTCGACTGTTCATTATCTCCGTTGTCGATGTCCAATATTTCCGACAGTCTCAACGAATTCGTGGCTTCTTTATGATCAACTCGGAGGGTGTCTAAAGCACACGATTCATAAGGAAGTCAGCCTTGATAAAGCTCTCCAGCTCAATCAATAAAGCTGCGAGCGACGTCCCGTAGGAGGACAAGAAAGTGAGACGCACCAATGTTAGATCTACATCCGGGATAAGAATAGCTGGTTGGCTGGATTGGTTGGCTCGTCGTAACTTTGGGGGAATTTCTAAGTAGCGGTACGCGTTTAGAAATCGAGCGTGTCTAATTGTAAAATTCAGTTTTTCATTAGCGAGTCGTCAATGTATACTTGCCACTTAGAAAGACACTGTCCAAAATGGAAACAAAAGGATAAACCCCTGGCGAGACTCGAACTCGCAACCTCCAGATAACGATCTTCGCATTCACGAACTGTTAGAAGTCTGACGTCATAACCATTAGACAACAGGGGCTTGAATAGTGGGTTGTTGTTGCTCTATATAAGGGCATTAGAGGAGTTCCTGGCCACCTTCCACGGATTTGTTCCGAGAGCCTCAGTGTGTGGAAATGTGCTAAAACCTGGTCATGATAGATTATTGGCGGTACATTAATAGTGATGGACATGTAAATACTTGGTATGTAGTAGGATATTTAAGGGGTGTGTTATACAGTCTAGAAGTAAACCAAAAGAGTGGTGGCTGAAAAGGAATTATTGTCATGAACCCGATGATGTTCGTCCGATAGGATGTGCCCTTTGTCTCATCTCCGTCGTCGATGGTGGATTGTGGATGGGAGGACGACCACCACTCTCTCGCACACCAAGCGGCACGCCTCGCGTTCTCCTGCTCCCTGGTGCTGTTCCCCTGGGCGGTTCTTGATCTTGCGTACGGAAATATCGATCCATATCCGACATATCAAGCTCATCCTCCCCCACTCCCGTCCGGATATCCAAAGGCACACCCTGCGCCCTAGTCTTGCCCTTTGTGTTTGGTGAGGCTTCCGAGGGCGCTTCTGGTGCCGTTGTGTTTGGTGACGGTTTTTGACCTCCAATTCTGTACATCCGCTTTCGCTTAGCTTTAACAGCCATGTTTCCCGAACCACCACTATTCCTTCTTCCTTCCCAGTTTGATCCAGCTTCACCGCCAATTCCAATACCCACACCCATCACACCTCGCGCAATTCCGCTTCCCCGACTCGATCCCGCAACAGGAGAATTCACAGCATCCTTCCGTGGCCCACTGCGCACAGTAAAGTGTGACAAATCTCTCGTATATGGCGATAGAGTATGGTTGGAATGTGAAAGAGTAGACAGGTGGTGTATGCTGTTCGTTAGATCAATGACAAGGTCACGCTGGGGTTGTTGTGTCGAGTGGGCACTTGGGTCTCCGTCAAACGTCGGTAAAGAAGAAGTCGAGGCCGATGGATCTTTTGTAATAGACGAATCACGGGCATGTCGACGAGCTGTGCCAGTCGCAGAGGATCCAACAGACATTCTGCGTTGAGTCATACCAGCCTGAGGATTAGAGTATGGGTGTGGATATGGATATGTGCTTCCTTTGGCAGAGTAGTATTGGTGGGGGTATGGATATGCCGGGAACTGTCGCTGTTTTCCTTTGTTCATGCCAACGGACGACACGCTTTCGTCGACATCAATGTCAACCGCCTCGTCATGGAATGCACGCTCATCGGCATCGTGAAGAATTCTGTCGGTTGGCGCTGTTGAGTAGGATGTCGAAGCACCAGAAGCCCTGGTAGGTTCACTGCTGGGTAATGATTCAGGCGACCCATGACCGGATGATGATGATTGGAATTGTAGATGCGGATGAGTGTAGGGATATGTCGTCCCCGGTGGTGCTGAACGTAGTGGTTGACCTTTTTGAGCGAAATGATGGGGGAAATACGTTTGCTGGGCTGATGTAGCATAGCGGTTTGCTTGCATGAGATTCGATCCAGACCCAGAGCGTGAGAGGGGAAGGGGGAGAGGGGATCTGAATAGCCCGTTTGGGGGATGTTGAGAACCTGTAAGCCCAAGAGGAAGCTGGATTGCGCTTTGCGAGTGAAACACACGGGGTCGCATTATGGTACCACCGCCAACAGCCGGTATTGTCTCGTACTCAGTTTCGGGTAGAGGAGGGGTTGCGTACCCTTGTCCGTTGTTCGTGAACACAGTCTCTGGCCCTGCCCAGTCGACGATATCAAAAGATTGGGCTTCATCGTCTTCAAATACCTCGCTACCAACTTCGCCCTCGTCACCCGTATCGTCGTCCTCTTCTTCGGACAGAACTTCTTCTGCTAAATCGGCGAGGCCTTTGTTTGGAGTGAAAAGACTACTGAACCCGCCAAAAACAGATCTTGTTGGGAGACCTTCTGGTCGTAAACCATAAGTTGGATCAAAATTCTCGAGGTCTGGATGCGATGAGGGGGGTGTATCTCTATCCTTATCGCGGGGAATAGAGGACGGGGCGTTTGATGAAGAAGAGAGGGGGGAAGACACGGACCGGAGGGAGCTGGGTGGTAATCTCGGTTTGCCAACTGTTGAGATGCCGGTTGTGGAACGCGCTCGGCGTGGATTTGGAAGGGATGGATTGCGGATGATTGGTGTTTGGAGGTGCGTGTAGGCTGGGTGGTGTTGTAACCCAAAGTCAGTGTAAGCATGTACATCAGACATGGAAGGTGTTTCTGGTGCCGGTCGTGTGACGGCATCGCCAGCAACAGATGCTGGGTACTGCTGCTGACCTACTACGGGGACAGGACTGGGCCGTTTGTTGAGGTATGGTGCCTCCACCTTTGCCTTGATCCACTGTTGGCTCAGTCGATGGATGATACCTGGTAGATCCTCACGAAACATTTGCCTCAATTGACCTTCAATTTCGCGTTGAATGAAATTTTGAATGACAGCGATAGAGTCAAAGGTGCTGTTGATATCGACATTTTGCAATGGGTCCGTCTTGAAGACGAGGGTGATGCCCTTCTGTTTCGAGACGACAAGAACGACATAGGAAGAGAGTTTGAAATGTGAAAGACGTAACAACATAGGAACCACTAAAGGTTGCTTCGCTGCCAACATTCCTCTAGAACCAGACATTAAATGTATATCTGGTTGTTTATGATTGAGCGGGTTGGCCTAAAGTGCTTGTTGTTGAATTGAATCTGATGATGAGGAGGTACAAAGTTACACACCTGTACTTTTGTTTTAAGAACTAAATGAGCGTCTCCTGCATAAGTCAGACGAAAAATGCCCCTAAACTGATCCACAGTTAAATCTCCAATATCTCTAATTTCTAACTCTGGTGGCTTTTTAAAAAAATGTCAACAAGTAATGTATAAAAAATGAAGTGAAACTGAAACATACTTGAGTACCCATTTCTAATTCGACGACTTCAATCTTGTCTGCTATGATTGGAGGTTTATTTCCTTTATTAAGAGCGGTATTAAGCATCTGAATTGCATCGTAATGAAACTGGTCAGAGAATCTTGGCCAGTTGAAGGTGAATGACATTGAAGAACAAGTAGAAGCATGAGATTCAAAATTATTAAGGTTAAGGTTGTTTGTCTACTAGTCAGTCAGCCTTGTTACTATTACTATTACTACTACTACAACTTACAAACTTTTTATTTTATTATTATAATTTCGTCGAATGAACGGTGTTCGCAGACTTTTAGCAGCTGCAACGTCTCCGACGACGACAAACACTTCTTCTTCGTCGTCTCCACCGTCTTCAGCTTCACCTTCAGAACAAAATATCACACCATCATTTGTTCCAAAGTCAGGTCCAAACTGGCCTCCGCATAGCCCTCCAACTTCCCCCATTCAGCCTCTGTCAGCTCCACCGCCTCCTCCATCATCATCACCATCACCCTTCAGTACTACACAAGCTTTGTTTTTCAAAAAATCGGCTGAAACTTTCTCTTCAACTCCTTATGCGTCCCTCTCCAGGTCAACCTCATCTCGTGCCAATAATCCACCCAACTCAGCACCCATACCTTCTCCAAACCGTTCACAAACAATGCCCAATACACCTTCACAGGCAGGTCCTTCAACCCCACCAAGGTCTCTTCCAAATTCAGGCCAAAGTCGCTATTCAGCAAGAAAGTCCGTTAATCCAGACAGTGCCCCATGGAAACGTACATCAGGTCCACTCAATACGAGAGATGAACTTATAATGAGTCTCATGGCAAGCGAGGCTGTGATTGACAGTAGGGATTATGATATTCTATCGACAGAGGAGGTTGAGGAACTCAAAAAGGTTCGTTGCCAGCCAATAGCCCCTTTCCCCATCCTTCGCTCAACGTTCTTGTTGTACACTTATGAATATTATAGGAACATCAAGTCCTATCATCAAGACTGGGTGCCATGACAAAAAAACTCGCTACAGAGACTAAAATTCGTGACGCAGCAGTATCCCTCTCAAAAGTCAACTCGACACAAATTGCGAACAAAAAGGTCTCCAAGCAAACCGCAGAACAGCTCGAAGCGGCCAATAGGCGCGTGGAAACCGCTCAACGAGAGCTATGGAAAGTCTCTGAACGACATAACGAAGTTCATAGGAGGCTCATGGAACACAGAGCCGGTGTTCTTAGTCTCTCAGTCCATAATCTCGAAAAGAAAATCGTAGGCCCTGGTACACCAAGCATCGGTGCTCACGACGATTCGGGTTATGATTCCTTGAGTAATCGGAGTACTCTTCTGAGTCCGGCTAGCTCTACCATGTCCGGCGTCTCATCTTCATCTAAAGCACGTTTCGATGGAGCCCA